TATTGAATTTTAATACTTTACACCAATAAAATAAAACAAGTGGAAAAAATACAGTTTAATTTTAATAAAATGTGAAAGTTTGTTTTATGAACTTGCAGATATGCAGTTTTATGAAATGAACCATTATAATTATAACTAAAATATAGTAGCAGTATTATAAAGCTAGATCTTCAATGAGTGAGAATAAAAAGTAAAAAAGCAAACAAGAGTTTACTATTTGGTAGATGAATTGTTTTAACTAACAATGTGGAGAATAAAACAAGATACATCATTTAACTTATATTCTATAACATTAATTTTAAGTATTTTGCATATTTTATTGTAAAGATGAAACAAACCACCAAAAAGAAAGCTGAAAAAGTCATTTAAATTAGCAAATAGTGTCCGAATGATAAAAAAGAAAAAAGAAAAATAAACAGTGTTAAAAATTATGGAAAGCAAGCAGAGTCAGAAAACTGTACCTGGAATAAGTATAAATGCCAGTGGCCACTTTTATAAATAAATGACTCCTAAAAATATTAACTGGAAAGGTCAACCTGTGGGTACATAAAAACAGAAGGGAGGCATTTGTAGGTCATTACTTTCATGAAACTTCACCTCAGGTCTCTAATTCTGTTGGCTTGATACCAGCTACCCCTAGAACAGCCAGCCTAGACATAACCTTCTTCCCCTCTCATACCACATCAAACGAGAACTGAGAAAATAACTTTGATCCGTTGTTCTCCGGAAAGAAATGAGACTCATACAAAATTCATCTGTAACCCATAATGTGCTTTTCTGAAGAACACTGGTGATAAAATCTCTGAGCTTTTTGGATAACTAAAAGTTTTTTTAAAGTTGCTTTTAAAGGGTTTATTTAACCGTGTGTGTGTGTCGTGTGTGTGTGTGTGTGTGTGTGTGTGTATGTGTACCTGTGTGTATCTATATAAGTTTATGTGTGCAGATGCCCATGGAATTGGTGTCACAGGCATCTACACATAGAACTTTTATAAGAAGACATGGAAAGGGTGTTACATTCATTGGAATTGGAATTATAAGTGATTATGAGTTACTACATAAGGGGTGGGAAATAGATCCTGTTCTGCAACAAATGTTCTTAACTACACTATTTTTGCACTGTGTGTGTGTGTGTGTGTGTCTATGTGTCTGTGTGTATTCGTGTATAGCTGTGTGTATGTGTGTGTCTGTACATGTGTATGTGTCTGTGTTTGTGTGTGTATGTCTGAGTGACTGAGTTTAACTGTGATTGTGTGCATGAATTTGGTAGGAGACTACTTACTAGATCAAAATCAGCTTAGCTATGAACACTGAACAAAACAATACCTTCTTTCCCAGCAACCATAACTGTCAGTCACTCGGAGATGGGTGGCGTCATCATCCTTTCTCTTGTGTATTAAAAAATGATGAATCCCCATCTATATGTTACAGACCATGACTAAATGTGAAATTCTCACTATGCTGTAGATATACTGTGCCTAAAGGACAGGCTCTGTTGGAAAACTCTGAAGGGAGAGCACCTGACTACCCTTTCACCTCTTAGAGAACCTTGTTATCATCCCACAGTGTGTTAATTCATGTGTAATTGCCCAGAGTGAGGCTGACTAGTAAGTGTCTAGTCATGAACTTCATCTTAATTTTACCAGGGATTTAACTTTCTCATCTCAGAGCCCATCTATTTGTTAAGATTAGCCTGCCAGGAAACTTCCAAAATCTCCCTCCTCTGCCTCTCAAGACTAATATTACAAAGATTTGCCTCCATTCCCAGCTTTGTGTCTCAGTGCTATTGATCTCAACACAGGCTCACATGCTTACCCAGCAGACATTTTGCCAACTGAGACATCTCTTTGCCTCTTCACTACTCCTCATTTCGACCTTGTTCAACATTCCCTATTTTCTATGGAGAGTAGTCATCACTATGAGACTCAGTCATCATTGAATACATGTCCTTTCAACACAAATTTTGATACTGAAGCTATATCACTCAAAAAGGATGAGTCCCAAATTCAGGGAAATATAGTCTTCAGAGGAGGATGGATGGTTGGAAAATGGGTGGCAATACAAGACAATGTTTGGTAGAGGTAAACAAAACATGCAATAGTGTGTGTGTGTGTGTGTGTGTGTGTGTGTGTGTGTGTGTAACTGATCACATATGGACTAGAGGACAACTTGTAGGACTCTGCTCTCTCCTCCCACTATGTGGATCCTTGGGATCAAAGCCAAGTTTTCAGGCTTGGTGTCAAACACGTTTACCCAGTGGACCATCTTGCTGACCCTTCTTTATGCTTTAGTCATATTTCTGATTCAAATCCTCATTCCAGTGGGTGGGGATAAATCTCATCAATTATAATACTCATCTTTTACACACAGAGACATACACACAAATTAATAAATAGTTAGAAGTATGTTTTAAAGGCAATTGGATTACCTACCCGAAACTGTAGGAAGAGATGGCAGAACAGAGCATATGCTTCTCACTGAACCATTTCCATCACGAGGAGAGTGACTAGCCTTACATTTTGAGTGGACATGAAATTGACCTTAGCATCATTTATACTTTCTTTGAGTGCATTCACATAAAAACATAAGAGCCTACTGTCATTTTGACAAGTGTTTAGCGTAAACAATATTTCAGTGTAATGGGAAAAAGAGTAGGAACTAAATACGTCGCCGAGGAAAGATTCCCTCTGGAAAAATCTAAAAACTATTCAGTAGGAAAACGTTAGCCATAACTGATCAAAGAAGAAATATTTTGGGACTAGACTATAAAGGAAAGTACAAAGATCATATTGCTAATGAGACACCCAAGTGAATATGTTTAATAAATACTGGGAAAAGATCTAGATACAATATTGGAAATATTGTCGAGAGAGAAATCTTTAGTCATATAGTAAAGAAACTGAGGTTGTATTTGAGTATAATATTTTTAACCTGAAAAGTGATGAACTATGAGTAACAATTTTCAGTATTTTTTTAGGCCACAGGCAATAACAAAAATTAATTGTAACACCATTTTTAAATAACTTTATAAGAATATTGCATGGAAATTGCATTTGATGCTGAAATTTCATAGGTGTCTTTTATCTAAGCCACACCACAGTGTGTGTCTTTTCTGCACATTTGAGGGTTTGCTTGACACTAACTTTTTGTGGCATTTTTCCTTGATATGACACTGCCAGGCATATTGAAAGTTAATTAAATAAATTGAAGATGAGAACATGGAAAGGGTCTGGTTTTATTTTTAGATTATTAACTTCTTCTAGCATTTGAAGTGAAGTGAGATTGGAGGATTAAAATTGGAAAAGAAACACCCCACGAGGCAAAGAACTTTAATAAGCCTTCATCCAAGCACTTGGAAATGGACAATTTACAATTTTGGGGTTGGGGCAAATATTAACATGTTACAGGAAGTTTCTTACTCTTTCACAAAGAAGGACACCACAGTGAAACTGACACTCCAAGCATTCTGTTTAGCTGAATGGCTGACTAGTTAAGAGCAGATACTCAGTTTCCTTTGATGGGAGAGTTACAAGAACATTTTTCAGTTGTGTCATCTAGATCTTGTACTACTTGACCTAATTTTCTTACACACGTTAACCTCAGTTGCTAAGAAGCATTCTTATACATGGCTCTGCTAGATGCCAGTCACGCGGCTTAATTTATGTCTGTGGTAAATTTCATGGCTAGAGGTATAGAAGGTGATGTTAATGTGTTTAAAGATGCTACTATATAATTATGAAAGAATAAATGGTATCTTGGTTATGATTCAAAATTGTCAAAGTATCAATTTAAAAGAAAAAACTTTCATATTTGAATATTTAAGAATGTAAAATCCCAGTTTTATGCAGAGCAATTTAGGTTTTTATATCAATAAGCTTGTATTTGTCATAATTGCTACTTATATCCTCATTACCCAAGAGTAAAACTCAGTTATTGGTTGGTTAAATATATTTTTATTCATTAAATAAATAATATGTATGAAACAGTAAGCAACATGCAAAAGTCACACCCATGTGTGCCTTATTCCCTACTGAACTGAGCAGATAATTCATAATGGGTTTGTGTAATTTTTTCAATTACCTTTAATAAATATATGATCTCTATCATTTTAGTTTATGATAAGCTATTAAGTTAACAAAAGTGCTGACATACATCATTCATTTGGTATGTTGTACATTTATCTTCTAAAATAAGTGAATGAAGCATACAGAGTTGGAGAATAGGCATTAAGTATACGGTGCTGCGGCATCATTCTCCATGCTTGCTCATCACGGCAATTCACACCGTCACTATGACCTTTCCACCCCTGCTGGGAGAACTAGAGAGCAGATACTGATACCATCAAACATTAAATGTGATGTATACAGATAATTATAACAAATAAGAATCACAGAACCAAAGGGCGTAATCACATAGTGCCTTTAAGCATATGACACTGAGCCTATGACAGTTACCTTTCCTTGGGTGCCACAGTCATGGTCATTTGAATCAACCCTGATAGTGAGGCTCAGAGATATCACATTTAGGCATAAAGAGGAAAGTGTCTGTTACAACGGGAATTCAAGCCTCCGTGCTACATCTTTACTAGAGCACACTGTTTTTAACTACTCCCATGAGTTCTGCCAGCAACCCCTCTGAGGCCAGCCCACCTATGGTTGAAAGCCTTCGGTGAGACTCTAGGGGAGAGCATAAAGCTCTCCCCTCAAAGGCTTAGTGAGTGGACTTATAGAATTTAGTGAAATTCCATCCACAACACTAAAACAAGATGAGGCAAAGTGTACTGACAATGGTCCAAAGGCAATCTTGCAAATACAAAAGCAGCACATTATATTATTGTTTAAAGCCTTTTATCATTGATGTGCACGAATAGCAAACTGAATAGCTAATCACAGAGTCATATTTCAATATGTGTCAAAACCGACAAACTGGCCAAGAAATTGGTTATTTGGTGCAACAGATTCTTTTTTCCCAGAGAGGTTGGAGAGCAGTGCAGATACAGTTCACTAGTATCTTTTCTTCTTTTTATACTTGCGGCACTTTTGGCTACCTTCATTTCCTCTCTTGTCTTCGGAGCTACTGTCGCTGTCGCTGTCTAGCCTTTGCCTCTTTCGTTTATTCCTAGCGTACAGGTCAGGGTCGCTTGGTGGTTGGTGAGTCCATTCATAGGAGCTGGGTCCAGCCTCTAGGTCTGGAGCGTGATTTAAGGAGCAAGACCCAGGTGTGCTGTTGGGAAGCGGAGCCGACATCTCATAGAAAGGAGGTGGCAGCTCTGGACTGTGGGTTTGCCACTGTTGGGAAGAGAAGACATTCATGAACACACACTCAAAATGCTAAGGCCCCTCACATGCGCTTTCAGGCTGCCATGGGTGAGCCGATCTGGGTATAACACAACAAGCGGATTGTACAGGGTTAGGGTCATTTCTTTCTCTGCTTAGCATGAAGCACAAAGATTAAAGATGGACGTACTTTCCTACCACACTGGTTTAGCGATGTGAGTAGAAATATGCAAAACATATAGCATGTAGACACACTATAAAAGTGAAAATAATCATAAAATAGTGTATTTATTTATCCCAATATATATGCAGTCTATTGTCATTTAGAACCTGTTACCAATATAAATCATTAAAAAAAATTTTCACCCCCATAGCTGGAATATTAACCCCAGGACCTTGCTTTTGATAGGCAGGCACTCTACAACTAAGGTGAATCTACAGATATTTTGTTTTTATTTTCAGGATGAGTCTTGTCAAATAGTCCCAGTTTATTCTATATGGAAGGTAAATCATTATTGAAATTATTTGATTTAATATAGATTTACATAAAATTTTATCACAGAAAAAAGTTTTCTACCATATTCTATTTGCTTCAGACATACATAAAACCTTACCAATATGTGATCCAAGTATGGATTTTAAGTGCTAATAAAAATTAGAACTTCAAAGGTGCAGATGAAGCTAAGAACTCCCAAGCTGGAAAAAGATTCAGTTGTCACTTTTCAGATGGAGAGTTACTTCCCATGTTTTATACCAAGTTATTTGAAATTCTGACTACTCTAATCAGATGACAAAGGGAGCATGAGACAGTCTTGCAGTACAAGCTCAGCTAGAACAAAGGTAAGTGCTTCTGGGGATGGTCTATTGTGTCAAGTAAGACCTCCTTACTGGTACACATCTAGCTACAATTTAGAAAAAATTCTCCAAGACTGAAAGCCTCATTTTACAAAAAATTCCTTGACTGCTTACTAAATGAAAACAGTTATTTAAAAAGAAAGAAAAAACCTCAAGGTTACATATATATGTTATTTACAACAAATCAGCTTCTGAATAAAAAAAAATTTAAATAAATAAGAAACGGTGTCACAGCTGTCACTAACAAACTTATACCCTCGGTTTTTCTGAGCAGGACTTGCATTGTTTTACTAATAAGACAGAGTTGTGAGGGAATGTTCTAAAATCAAATAACGGGATTAAGAATTCTAGGCTGCGGAGGGACTGTGGCGAGCTTAAAAATAAGGTAGTTCCTTCTAGTAATTGAGAACTTTTCAAGTGGCGTTTTAAAACAAAAATATATGTGATAGATGAATATTGAAAAATTTGAATATTCATATACAAATATTGTAAACGGAGTAAAAATCGCCATGCCTCAGAGCACCTTTGGCAATGGTGGTTTTGATGAGAACTCGGCACTCAGATTTAGCTGGGTTACTTCCTTCATTGCTATCCCCTGCCCTTTACCACTACGCGCAGATGACTTACTGAAATCTTGTGTGACCCTGTGCGAGCACGTGCCAGGGCAAATTCTATACCGATGCCAGGTCAGATCTTTTTTTTGTTTGTTTGTTTTTTCAACACCGAATGTTAAGAGTGGTGATTTTGTTCTTGTGCTTTTGTAAGTTATATATCGAATCAAAAGCATTTCACACTTACCATTTTTTGAAAGAAAAAATACTCTTGAGGTAAGGCAGCACCTGTAATTGGGAAAAACGGCACGGGAAAGGAAGGCCTGACTGCCATTTCATCGTTCCTTTGCAAAAGAAGAGAAGGAAGGACAGCTTAAAATGTCGAGGTACAAATGTCATTTTCTCCTTAGAAAAATTACTGACAACTTTACGTACATAAGTGGGAGACAAGACTTCCCTGGGAGCCTTTAAGATGAACTACTGTGAACACATGAATAGTGAATTATTTCACTGACAATGTAATAGCACAGTATTGCATTAATTATTTAATTGTACAGTATTGATATTATAGTATTTATAATCACATTTGATTTTTATAAGGAATATGCCAGAATATGTTATAATTGAGGAAAGAAAGACTCTGATATGAACTCAACCCAGTAAGCGACTTGTGACCACCAAGAGAACACTGGTTTTCTGTGGATAGAAAAGCAGGGTAGAATTTTTGTTCCTTTAATTTTAAAGGTATCTTTACAGCTTAATTAAAACATTGCATGCTTAACACTGTGCTTTAATATACTTGTTGCTGTCTAACAAATTAAGATAATGAGAGTCTATTTTATTTTTTAAAAAAACAATCCATGCATTTGGTTACCTGAAGCTGTGTGAGTTAATCTTAGCACTGCTCTCAAAACTTTGGATAGCTGATTCAGAAGAGCGAGAACTCCCTTTAATGAGACAGAATGAAAGAAAAGAAAATTGAAAAAAATGTTTTATGGTATAATTACTTGGAGTTGGAAAATTATAACATTAAGTACTAAAGTCATCCAAATCCCCAAATTTGGTGGTTTCGTCTATAGTTTAGCATTTGAGAGACTGAGGCAGGAGGATCCAGAGTTTCTAGTTAACTTGGGGCACATAGTGAGGTGCTAATTCATAAAAACCAAAACCATGACAAATGTAAAAATCTTACTCTTACAGCACATAGTATTGACTCAAAATTCTGTACTATTGCAAAATATCTATATCTAGAGTCATATTAACATATTTTATACATGACTATAAGTGACTTGATGAAAATTGAACTTCTTCCAAAAGCCATGTATAGATATGAACATTATATAGGCATTGGACTAAGTAAGATATACAATGTTGCTTTCTTCCATATTTATGTGAGTTAAAAATGCCATATCATCATTGTCATCTGCTCCTAGAATATAAGATATGGGTTCCCTAAACACTGTAGACAAGAACCAGCTCAACTTTACATGGAGTGTGTCAGAATATAACACACCCAAAATCTGCTGTTAATTGGCAGAGAGGTTCGGCAAAGAGAAAGGGAGATACAATTTTCCTTTTGGAAGAAGACACGGTTTTTGTTATTGTTGACTTTAGAAAGTCATGCCCCACTGATGATGATGATGATGATGATGATAATGAGATAAGCCAGCACCAACCTACTATGCCTGAGAGGTACTTAGATGGCCCCTTCTTGTTATAAATGCCTAGTTCATGGTGTGTACAATCGATATCCTTTGGGGCCTCTACGTTTTAAATTCAGGCCCTAGCAATATGCATAAGATGGTTTCCCATGAAGGACTAATTGGGAAGGGCTTTCTTACACATGGTAGGTACGTGAGCAGTGCCAACAAGGTAAAACTGCTTTGCTATATAAAGTCTAGAGCTATTTGTTTCTAATTCCTGCAAATTGTCAAGTTGCTAGCAACTTTTTAAGGTACTTCTCGGTTGATTCTCAAAGAGAATTTAAAAAGTTTTAATACAGAAGAGATGTACTTGGTTTGGTAATATGGTAGGCATTGTCAATTAATTATACATTCAACATTAGATGTATACTCGGGCAAAAGTAATAACCTTGACAACAAAAGCACATTTTATTGTCCTATAGCAACCTGTGGGTGGTGAACATTTTAGGGGTTGCATATCAGATATCCTGCATATGTGATATTTACATTATGATTCATAAAAGTAGCAAGAATACAGTTATGAAGTACCAACAAAAATAATTTATGACGGGTTCACCAGAACATGAAGAACTATATTAAAGAGTTTCATCATTATAAAAGTTGTGAGCCACTATCCTACACTATATAAAAAACAATAATACCCTTAAGCCTCTGAGACTAGGATTAGGAAACCACACTTTGAAGATCGATTGGTGAAAGAACTTACCAAACCGATACTGCACATTAATTGGTCTCCCATACAAACGAATTCCATTCAGCAAAGCTATGGCATAAGACACAGATTCAGGGTGCTTGAAGCAGACAAAGCCAAAGGACTTTGGTTTTCCATCTCTGTCTTTGCAAAGAGTCACTTTGGTTAGTGGCCCAGCCTGTAAGAAACTTGAATTATTTTCTTATAAATCCAAAGATTTTATTTTTACACTAAGACAAATCAAAGATTCAAGCTTGACGAAAATAAAGAACAATCATAATTAGCTTCACAAATAATGCGTCTTCCTAGAAAAAAAAATTTTAGCTTATCAAAATCAGTTATGGGAAAGTAACTTATAGATTATACCACCGATATTAAAAGGAAACACTATCCTTATTTTTGGCTTTATACATCAATTTCGAAGAGTATTTGATACATTAAAATACTACTACCTCTCCACAAATATTTTCAGTATTTAACTGAAAAGTGCATTGGAATGAGAAAAAAAAAAATCATGTGCTTGAGTTATGGCCAAAAAGGTTGCGACATGACATCTGAGCTCACTTCTGTTAAGAAACTGCAAAAGGGTCTCTTGAAAAAAAAACAACAGTGATGACAGAGACCCTTTTGATTGTCCTTCACTATATCAGAAACAAAATGCCAAGTTATTTTTAGCAAAGATTCACTTTGGTTCATGGCCACTGAGCTCAACATGGCTGCTAGGTAGGTGTGAGGTCTTGAGTTTGAATCATCAGAATGCACATTGCTAGGAGCTAGAGGACCAGCTAGCATGGGGTATACAACAACAACAACAACAACAACAACAACAACAACAACAACTGTCTCAAAGGAAAAAGTCAAGTGTCAACATTGGAAGTGTTCTCTGACTTTCATAAGCATGTGGCAGATCTCACCCGTGCACATTCATGCACACGGATGCATGTGCGCACATACACGCGTGCACACCTGCATGCAATCCTTCGTATACTACCCAGTGTTCATAAGAGAAGATAAAACGCAATATGTATTTTGATCTAGTAACACTGCTTCATATATATGCTGAAAAGAAATGTATTTTAATATGTTTAAGATCTGGTAGAGTGGGTAAACCATTCATAAAAACGAACAACTAAAAAATATAACAACTATAAATATTATTCCACAGTCAATTATTCAAACAGAACGAAGTACAACAAATTGCAAGTATTCAGAATGCGTAGCTATGAAATTTGTAGTAGGGAATAAAGAGTGAATAAGCAAAGACAAATATTAGAGAACACTGTTAACCACTCCTGAGGAAAAAATTCAACCAATTAATTTGTGTGATTGGAGGCTATGTTCACAGAGAACAGAACTGAGTCTGGCCGCATACTAGGATGATTATTTTTCACGGTGGAGTTACCTAAATATTTTTTTTTCCTCCATACAGCAGTGATGGAGCTTGCACATCAGTCAGTCTCTCTTCTCTGAATGCTTTGCCCAGGAACTAGCTCATAGTCCCTCTGTTTGAATAGGATGATGTTAGCAAAATGATTTCCCTATTGCTGCCTCTGCTATGAAGACAGCCTCCTGGGGCTATGTCACGAGTGTCACACTCAACACATTTGAAACCACAACCACCATCTTCCCTTCCCATGCCTCTAGTCTAATAATTCTTGGTTAAAAGGACAAATAAATATATTTAAAAAAACATATATTTGAATATAAAAAGAATATTCAGAAAATTGAAATAAATTATACAATTAATATAATAATAAAAGTAAAAGGACTTATTATTATGTCTAGGATTTTTTTCCTTCTATTTAATTTACTTATATATATATGCCAAAATTCTTACTTCGTGGGTGCTGGAGACTGAGCCTAGAATGTTATGAATGCAAAGCAAGTGCTGACTACTGAGCCATACTCCCAGTTTTGCCGTATCATTTTCAAAAGTAAAATCCAACCGATTTTTCTAGTATCAACAAATAAATCACTTAAGCTTCCTTAAAGTCAGAATGACACATTTTCAGGCAGCTGTCAAGTCCTTCCTGGGTGGAGGGTGCTCTTGCTCTTTAAGTCTTTTAAACTATAATTTATGTTAGCAAATTCTCTGAGCAAAATGAAAACATAGGCTTACTGCTTGACCTGCTCAATGGAGGTTACATTTTAATTAAGTGGGAAAAAGAAAATCATGAAAAGAAATAAAGAAATGCTGTATATTGCCTTCTGTGTGCACACTACTGATGGAGACCAAGGACCAAGTAGTTACTGACTAGAGAGCTGAGGTCTTAGGGGATTTAAAAATCCCACAAACCACCTTTCCTTACTGCCCCCTATGGAGGTTCAGAAGGAATGCTTCCTGGAAAGGCTAAAATTACTCCGCTTCTGAATAGTGAATTTCAAATCATATTGGGTCACAAACTAGATAATGGTGTTTTTAGAGGGGATACTCTAAAGTGGCAATGGATAAGATAAAAATCTTAATTTTTAACTTTTTTAAAATAAAAAAAATAATATTTAGGAAGAGAGATCTGCAGAGAATCCTTGCCAGGTACTAATCCTTTAGCATCTATGGGTACTAAAGACATTCTTTCCTTGAGTTTAGAGATAAAGTAAGTCCTTTAAAAATTCAAAAAAAAATTCACCACTGATAACCACTCTTGACTCTAGAAATGTATCTCTGTTATTGTGTCCCCGAGAATTTTCCCTTATTTTGAAAGCAGAAGTCACTCTTGATTTTTTTTTTATTTTAGTAGCAATACTTCGCATTATTAGTAATAACAATAGCAGTCCTATTAGCAGCAGCAGCCAACAGCGCTGGCTGTAGTAGCTGTTTCACAAAACGAAGTTTATTTCTGACAATCACGTTACAATTATTCCCATTTTACATTTAAGGACGAGCCTCACTGTAGACCGCTGTGTTCTTGCTTTCAACAGGTTTTTTTTTTTCCTTCCATATTATTTACCTGTCTCTTGCAGATTAGCATAGTCCATGAGAAACAGTTTTGATTTCCCCCTTTAGAGTCCCTTCTCAACACTTTCGATTTGCTCTATAATTCTGAGTCATTAACCAATTAGATGAGAGGCTGAAGACACCCCTCTCTGGCAAGTGGGACCCAGAAGTGTGTTATCCAGTTCTCAAAAAAAAAAAAAAAAAATTCCCTGAAGGTCCGACTATGAAATACAGGGTCACGATTAGGGAATCCATTAGTTAGTTATGGTCAATTGCCTGCCTAGCATTTCAGAAATCACTTGTATGATTCTAGAATAAAAATGCTCTCCCCATCAAAAGGCATGGTCGAGAGAGGGTGACAGCCAGGGAAAGGTTTTTCAAGAGAAGTAGTCTTCTCTCAGGTGCCATTTTCCAGGTTGGACAGAGGGGTGCTTACTATTCCGTGAGGACCGTGACGGGGTTGTTTAGTGTTCCCGCAGCACATCCAGGGCCCGGAGAGGCTCCGGGAGCCCCGGCCTGGGGCTGCCAGGCTGCGGGTGGGAGTGGGAGGTCGTTGCCCACCCGGCGCTGCAGAGGGAGGGGAGTACTAGCGGCTCATCCCGGGCTGCACACTTGCTTGCCTAAGTGAGGGAAGGGAGACCGGAGCTCCGGTGGGGCGGGGTCCTGGGGCTCCACAGCCGCCGCCCGGCCTTTCCCGCGGACGGTACCTGAAGGAACAGCTCGTAAAGAATCTCTTCCCGCACTCGGGCCTCTAAATTGCCCACAAACACGGTCCTGTCAGCCTCCTCCTGAGCCGGGAACATCCTGCGGTCCGCAGCCAGGGATGGAGGAGGTGCCGAGGCCCCGCCCCCTCGCTCCGCTTTACTGCGCGGCCCCGCCTGGGCGGCGGAGCCCGAGGCGGGCGCGCGCCAGGGGCGGGGCGAGTCGGGTAGTGAAGCCACGCCCATAGCTCCGCGGGAACCGCCCACCATCTCGCGGCTCCGCCCTCCCTGGGTAGAGAGACCATGACTTACCGACCTGATGGCTTCAGCAGTACACTTGACACAGTGCCCCTGTCTCTTTCTGAACAAGATTAATTGCTGATTTTAGTTAGTTTGTTTTTTTTATTTGAAGCAACATTTGAAATACAATGACTAGGAAGTTGATTTCAGATTGATTAACTTCAGTATCGATGTGTCCTGGGTGACACAAAATGTTTATTTGTTTCCAAAGAGTTAAATGGTTAGATCAGTAACACTGTGAAGTTAATTTATAACATGTAAAGAAATGTCTCCATAAAGGATATTGATACAAGAAAGGACTAAAATTAAAGTTGATTTAGCCATTAAGTAATATCTGTGGGCTCTGAAAGGCCACTGAACTCAAAACAAACAAACAAACAAACAAACAAACAACCACTGTGTATCAATGAATCCTTGAAAAATGTTCCCAGAGGACCCTGAAATCATCCTCAAAAGATCATTCAGTAACGAGAATACGACTTTTAGTCTTTGGTTGGTGGAGTAGTAGGAGTTCATTTTGAATTCAGGAAATGTACTTCTGCTTGGTTGATTGATCAGAAAATTCCTTTCTAAAGAAAAGGAAATGATTGAGAAACTCTCAGAGAAATGTTCCACATCCTTAGCCACGAGGAAATGCAATTTATAACTACTTCAAGATTTCATCTTATACCAGTCAGAAGGGCCAGCCAAGATAAATAAGACAAATAAAAAAACATGGTGGCAAAGTTCTGGGTAAAGGAGAACACTTATCCATTGCATGTGGGAGTGAAAACTTGTCCAGCCACTATAAAATTGGTGTGTTGATTCCTTAGAAAGATCTACCTCAAGATCTAGCTATAGGACTCTTCAACATATACCCAAAGGAATTCTACAGCCAACTACAGAGTCACCCATGTTCCTTGCTGCTCTATTCATGATAAACAGAAATTGCAAACAGTCTAGATATTCATGATTGGATGAACAGATAATGAAAATGGGACACATTTACATAATGGAATATTGTTCAACTGTTAAAAATGAAATTAGGCAAATTTCAGGTAAATAGATGTAACTAGAGGCAATCACCCTGACTGAGGTAACTCATACACAAAAGACAAATTACATATTGTGTGTTTTCTCTTACATGTGGATGTGGATGTTAGCTTGCAGGCTATCAATATGTATATTACAACCTAAATAATCACGGAGTCTGGTACCTAGAAAGGGAACAGTGGAGAAGAAAGGATTTTACAAAGAAGGGGGAATAGAATGTAGAGTTATCAAGAGATAAAGGAAAAACCAGAATAGGGAAAGGCAAGAGAGCAGGGTAAAGGAGGAGGTATGGGAGGGGTAACTAACAGCAAAGGCCATTTGAGAACTGTAGAAAGCTACTAAGCTTACCATTTCATATGTGAAATAGATTTAAATTGTTTCCAATTAATATGTGGGATAATGCTTCGCCTAGACATCTTATGTCACCAAGTAAAACCCCCAGTGCAGAGATGGATTGCAGGTTTTGGAGTCATTCAGCAAAGGGGTCTCCACAATTTCCATCCAAATCACAGGCTTTGCCAAGTTTATTGATTTCTCTCCACAACTTGATGATTAGGTCCTATTGCTGAAGACGTTTATATCACCAAATGCGAAGTTTAGCTGCTGCCCAGCTAGAAGCTTCACCCCTTCTGAGTAGCAGTTCACAGTACTAGAAGTTACTCTTTAGCTTACCAGAGGAAAAACCGTAATCATCAATTTCACCCAGCTACAAACCCTGTGACCTACGATAATGAAATGTCCACAGGATACAATCATGGCAGAAATGTTATTGGAGTAACTAGCCACTTTTTGGTTGGGTTTAAGGACCACCTCGTGAGATGGGACTCATACCTGACACTGTTAAAGTGGTCAAGAACCCGAGACTGTAAAGTTCTAGGGAGACACATCTTACTTTTATTTTGCTGAAATAACATAGCAATAAAATGACTAAAAATGACATGTTGTTGTACCCGTCGATCAGTGCCTCATTGAAACCTCATCAGACAAGCCCTTTCTTTGTAAGAGATGGGAATTAACCCAGAGATCCACAACTGGGCAATGTGCAGAGAGTAAGGAGAGAATTGACAGCACTCAGTTCTAAATTGATTATCTTCAAAACCCATCCACGAGGCTCACTGATCTATGAGGGAGAGGAGGAAAAAGAATTGTAGGAGCCAAGGATGATGTATGACTCCAGGGAAACAGCATTATCCATATACCGTAGGGTTTACACACGTATGAAATCACAGAAACTGTAGCAGCATGCAAAGGACCTGCACAGGCCCAAACTAAATAGGGCCCAGCAATGAGAGGGGGAAGTTGGCATGGTCCCATACCCAAACAAGAAAGCATTCACACTTAAGAACTGCTAGCAAAGGGAAATTCATTTTTCTCCAGTGGATCATCACTGGGTATATCAACCACACTCCAGGGCAGCCCTACACACAAAGGTGATTCTCCAAAACAAAACAAACTTCCTTCATGGAGTTCTTTCTGTTATGTTTTTGGCATTTTTTTGTCTTTTTGTTTGTTTATTTATTTATTTATTTTGTATTTTTTTTGTTTTATAGGTTTATAGGTTTATAGGTTTGTTTGTTTTTTTTGTTTTTGAGAAATAGAGTCAGATGGACAGGGAGGTGGAAAAGATCTGAGAGGAAGTGGGGAGGAGAAAACATCATCAAAATAAATGGTGTGAGAATATTTTAATAAAATATACATTTTAGAAAAAATTCTCATTTATCTTTTACCTCTGACATACTTAGTTGTGTGAGTTGGGCAAACAGCTTGACTATGGTATTCAGAGTGTGTGATTTTTTTTTTTTTTTTTTTTTAGAAACAGATTAAACCAAGTAGAGCTATTTTATCCGATATTTATTTTTGAATTGCTTTTAAAGTCAGGAATTGTTTTTAGCTCTGGGAACAAATGCCAATATAGAAATCTGGATAGTGGAAGAAACATGTTTCTCTAGATCATGCAGGTGTCAGTAGCTTTAGTAGTTACTTTTGGTTACCTTTGGTTATTACTTCTCAAGTCTATGAATATTGTCTCTCTTTGCTTCACCATCCAAATATAGTGTAGTAAGAAGCAAACGAAGTAAGTACAAGATAGACAGCAAAAATGCATGTTGTTAAAATGAGTGGACACTTGGAACTTTCTATTTTGTGTATGTCTTTTACATATTTTGTACTTATATTTCAAAAATCTAAGCCTAATCAAGATCTTTTCTCTGTAGCATTTATACATATTCAGTGCTTACATATAACTGCAAATGTTGTAAAACTTTGTGTTTCCAAATAATTAAAAGTTGAAATATATATATATATATATCACATTTCATATATATATATGAAATATATTCTATTCTTGATACGTATTTGTGAATTGCTTTAGTGCCTTAACACTATGCTCTGCTCTCTTGGCTTTATATACATTTATGGTGTTTATTTTTTAGATTTTTTATTCACCATTTTGAAACTCGTATGCTTGGATATTTACTTAGAATTTCATCTCAACAGATAACTCTTTTTTATTTAAGTGCATTGTATTTTCTAATTCATATTGGGCACATGACTCTAGGAAATGCAAAAAAGAAGTGTTTTTGCTTTCATCATTTACTAGCCCATTAGTCCCATAGAAAGCTTCAACAGGATCATATGCAATACTCAATAAAGAATTAGGCTGTTTTATCAGAATGTTTTATACTTCTTGCATGAACATACCAAAGTGTAAAAATACACATGTGTATGAATTTGGTTTTGTGTGTATATCCAAACCTAGAGTTGACAAACAGACTGCTAGTTATTTAGCTAGATATGCAGATTTCTAATTTCACTTCAGTGGCTCATCCAGAAAGTGTATTCTGCTGGGATTTTCTCTACCGTCCAATCTAGAATCACTGGCTGCCTCCCATGGGTAGTAACATAATTCCTTAGTTATACTTTTCAAGCCCTCTTTATTTTGAACTAGTGTTGCATAATTAAATATAAGCATCCAAGGCAGACCCTGACACATTTATGACACTATAATAAATACCTGTTGAAATTATATCTCTGAAAAAAATGAGCATCTCTAAGGTGTATTCCCAAAACAAAGTCTAGAGATATCAGGAGTTGCTTAGTAAAAATTGTACAAATGAATTTACATATGAATGAATTAATGAATGGAAGAGCTTGGTAATGGACGTTTTCTATAACTACAAGTAATGATACATATGCATTATAATCTTCACAGTATATACAATTAGACAAATTGTAGACATTTGGGGCCGGGGTAATGATGTTGCGATGAATTGTTTTGTCCCCATTTTTTCTGTACATTTGTGATTTTATTATGGCATGGAAGGAGCTTCCAGTTCTATAACAATGTCCTTAGCATGTCTAACTGCTGACTCAGAGGTTAACATTCTTGAAATCTTATGTTTTTAACAGTGACTTGTCACTGTCTGGCCTCCAACTCTTCAGACTTCAGATTAGTGTTTGCTGACCATTGTAGTAAAAAAAAATTCAGATTTACTGTATCATTGAAACATTTCCAAGATATGTATTTTCTAAAAGCAAATTTTGATTTGAACTTGTGCTCTGTGTATGAACAATTATTGCTTTTCCTTGATTTCTTAACATTCTTACTGGGAAAGAAAATAGGAGAAAAATTAAATAAGCATTAAAGAGAAAGCTAGTAATGCTTTTTGCTGGTTTTATATTAAAACTAAAAATATTTTTTCTTTTCATATTCTAGCTCCAAGCTAGAATATAACTTTTATTTAAAAATTAGATGTTATCCCCCTCCAGGT